TGATGGCCATCGCCACATTTTCCCTATCGCTATGAGTGGAACTTACATGAGCCCGCCTGTTTCTTCCTTCGCAGCGGAAGCCATGGCCTTAGAGGACGCAGTCTGCTCGATATCCCGGCTGATACACCAGAATACCATTGTAAAGCGCGGCAGAGTTCAGCACAATTTTTTATCTTCATAACATTTGCGCGGTGGCCTGTCACGGTGTGGCTAGAGGCGTCCGAAAGAAAGCTCCCAGGGGACTGGGGGGAACCGCTCCCAGGGGACTGGGGGAACCGCCCGGGGCGTGTTGCACTGCCCGGCCCCTTTAAGCTAAGAGAGTAAGAACCCTTCTAGGCAGAGCCTAGGTAGGGAACAAACAAAAAAATGGTGGTGCTGTTTCATGCATATGCCGCGTGGAAACCCAGCATCGGCCGCTCCAGACAAAGCAGTCGCGCCGAGAGCTGGTCGCAACATCCGCTGGACTCGCCCGCCGGCACTGCGGAGCCGTAGAAGACGCTTGGCACGCTTCGCCGTGTCCAGGACACGATCCTTCCTCACGCGTTGGACAGCAGCTCGACCAGGTCTCACAATGTTGTTGGTGCCAGGGTCTCGGGCCGCACACGGCAACGAGGCCTGCAAGAGGACAGGCGCCTTGGAGACAACATCCTTCGCTAGGTCAGGATCCGTGGGCAGAAGAAGCGACTTAATGGAATTAGAGACACGGGCAGACCTGCCGCCTGGAGGGACTGGACTAAGTCAGTAGCGGTTTCGGGGGCATCTTCGACCACGAACCGCAAAGTCCCAATAATGTTGAAGCGCACGTCGTCGGCTACGACACCATAGAAAGCATAGGTATGCAGCAGGGTCTGCGCGTCCAGGTCCGGGATCAGCATGGCCCTCATCAGCACATCAGCAAATCGCATTTTGCCACAGTAATTGTTGTAGCATGCACTGTACGGCCTGGCATGCCGTAGACAGACACAAGCACGGGTCCACGGCACAGGGTGATCAGAAACCGTAGCAAGAACATGTTAACGTCCAATTTAGATGCCCTAGCCACGAGAATGCGATGAAGGGCATGTCCAAGCGCTCTGAGAATGTAGGACACCCAACCACGTGGACGAGCCAACTCCATAAGGACGGCCTGTTTTCATTCACATTGAGTTGGCGACGAGGAAAGGGGAGGATGAGGAAGGAAGGAGGACGAGGAGGAGGAGAGAGACAGCCAGAGGAGAATGGGGGAGGAGGAGGAGCAGGAGGAGGAGGAGGCAGAGGAGGAGAAAGAGAAGAGGGAAGATGAGGTTAGAGCACCCCCGAACTCTACAATATTTGTTATATCGAGCTTGTCACTGGCCTCTCGGTATCTTGTCTCGCTGTTGTTTTGTGAATGTGCAGGTCAGTTCTTAGAGGACTACAGTCCACGGCTCGGCTTTTTTTTTCACCCGAGACTGTCTCAGTGATGCTGTTTGCACGCCTGTGCCAGGTGGACAAAGCGCTTACTCTTGCTCACCTTCTCCTTCCCTCTTCGTCCCCGTCCTCCTGCTCCTCCTCCCTCCCGCTTCGTCTGCACGTCCTGCTTCTGTCCCTATCCGTGCTCCTCTTGTTCCTCCTCTTTCTCCCTCCTCCTCCTCCGCCGGGGTCCTCGGCTCGTGCCAGCCTCGATTCACAGCAGCAGGTATCGATGACACCACGGTCAGACTTCTCAGCGACGCGCCGACACGCCTGCACCAGCTCCAAGTCCTACACGGCGACCCTGGGGCCATCCCACGTGCCTCGGCGCTGGGCCGGAACCTCCGAGACCCTGGCGGTTTCAGGCACGTGCTGTCCCTTCTCCAGCCTGGCCTCCCCTTCTCCTTCCAGTCCTCGCGCTGTGCTTCCTTCGCCCTCCCTTCCTCCCTGCTTCCCTCCCCATCCATCCATCCATCATCCTTCCTCTCTGTATCCATCATTCCTCCTTCCGTCGCACCTCCCTCCCTTTGATCCCTCCGTCTCCTCACCCGTTTCAGTTCTTCTCTCCGTTTTTAGCCATTGTCACCCCTATCTCTTTCAACACCCCTCCTTCTGCCATCCCTCCCTCCTCTCTCCCCCTCCCTTTTTACCCGTTGGCCATTACCACATCCATTGATGAGGAGGAGGAGAAGGAGGAGAAGGAGGAGGGAGGCGGATGAGGACCAGTGTAAAGCCAAGACGCGCCAACGATGTTGCAACAAATCATCCTTACATGTTCTGGTCTCAGCAAGAATGTATGGTAAGTGCGGGAAGCGCCCCACTGAAAGACAGTTGTATGAGAACCCCCAATCATGCCAAAACCCTACTATTGGGACTTCACGCCGCGAGCCATCGTGACTGCTGCGCCCCGACAATCCTAAACAGTTCCAGAACACCGTTCCTGAGACTTCAACCCCGCGAACCAACGTGACCGTTGCGTCCTGGCAGTCCCACATTATGCCATAACACCACTATTAGGACGTCAGTCCTACGGACCCTTTTAAGACGAATGCGCGCGATGTTAAGACGAGAGCCACCTTGTGAAAAGGAGCCGCCCTCCATCTACGCATTTGCTGCAACTTTTGAAGACGAGTGTGCACGTTGCGAAGGCGAGGGCCGCACGTTGAAAACCACCCGCCCTCCAGCTTTGAAACCGTTGCAAATTTCAATGGTCATGGCCATGAGTGGTGAGAACGCCTCCTGAAGACTCGGGCGGAAAGCCTGGTCCACCCTATTGACTCACCAGACTTGCCCGCCAAAGCCAGGTTTCACATGCTCGGCAATGGCGCGGCTGACAGAGCAGCCAAGCAGGGATGCCTTCTCCACCCACAGCCAAGTGGAGAGGAGGTGGCGCAGATCGATCGCATTGTTCGCAGTGCCAAAGTTGCCTGCCGTGCATCAGTGCTCCCAACGTAGCCCGTGCCACTCCCAAACCCTTTCCTCGTCTTCCTGAGTCCCCGTTCGAGTATCAGCGTGAGTTGTACCGTTGTGCCTGGCGCTGTCTCTGTTGCTTTGGCGCTCCGGATGCCGAAGGGAGCCGCCTCCCGTTGTGCAAGAGATGTCGAGTTTGGGCCGTCGGCCCCGTGCGTTGCAATGTGCTGATAATTCGCCGCGTGTCGTGTGCCTCAGGTGTAAAGCCTATGTCTGCCTCGGGAGAGAGGACCGTCTCAGTCGTGCGTGCGATCCGCGTTCTGCTTGACGCAATGACATGGATCGCTGACGACTGATGAAGCGTGGTTCCCACCCCAAGCTCAAAGGGATTGGTGTCGAGGCCATACGCTGCGCGCGCAGCAGCCGTCTGGCAGCCTGTCCACGGCTGATGGGGGGGAGCACGCCCAGAGTAGAAGACCATCCTCCTGCAGCGATGGCTTACTTGTCTACGTTGGCTTCTCCATTCGGCGAAGCTGAGCCGCCGCAATCCCAGAACCGCGGATCCCTCCGCGTCTGCTCCTCCTCCTCCTACTCCTCCTCCTCCGCCTTCTCCTCCTCATCATCCTTCCCCTTCCTCCTCATCAGCATTAGTATCCCGTTTCCCCCTGCTGCCGTTCATGATGTCAGCCTTCACTGTTTCTTCAGCCGCCGTTTCCCTCGTCTTCCCCTTCATCAGCAGCATCACCGTGCCTCCCCCTTTGCTTTGATTTCCCGTAGGGTTCATGGTCATTGTTGTTCCCACCTTTCCCAAATGTTTCTCATACGCCTCACCACGGGCACCCTCGCCATTGTCATCTCCACTGCCGCCAACAAGAGCAACCCCGCTAAATATAATCCCGCTCCTCGTCATAGCGTCTCCCTTGTGTCTTCAGTGCTATCCCCCACTTCCCCCGCATCTTCCTCCGCTTGATAATCCCATGTTCCTGTTTCCAGCCGTCATCATTCGCCCTTCTCCTCCAGCCTCCCCCATCCACGTGTGATTCCACCTCGCTATCATCACTCAGCATGCCATGCTCACGCCCTGCCTTCCCCCATTGTCTCCATGTTCACTATCGTGCTGCTCCATCATCGGCCTGTCTTGTCTTGTTCCTCAACATCCCGTCGTCTTCAGCCTCGCCCTCTCCCTCCTCCTCTCCACCCATGTCTACCCCTCCTCCTCTTGCTCCTCCTCCTTTTCCTCCTCCTTCTCCTCATCCACCTCTTCTTCCGCATCCTCCTCCTTCGTTTTTATCCTCCTCCTCCTCTTCATCCTTCTCATCCGCATCCTCATCACCAGTATTATTAGTATCAGTAACAGTAACAGTACCGTCATCATCATCATCATCATCATCATCATCATCATCATCATCATCATCATCATCATCATCGTTACCATCATCACCGTCGTCGTCAGCATCAGAAGCAGCATCAGCATCAGCATCATCAGCATCATCATCATCGGCAGCATCATCATCGTCAGCAGCCTCCTCATACTCATCATCGTCAGCAGCATCAGCATCATCATCAGCACCGTCATCAGCATCAGCATCAGCATCATCAGCAGCATCAGCATCATCATCGCCACCATCATCGCCATCATCAGCAGCGGTAACATCATCGTCGCCATATCCACCACCTTCATCATCAGCATCATCAGCATCATCGACATCGCCAGCATCTTCATCATCAGCAGCATCATCATGATCGTCACCGTCGGCATCAGGAGCAGCAACAGCATCACCATCACCATTATCATCAGCCACAGCACCATAACATTTAACCTAAACAGAAGCAGCACCAGTACCATCAGCATCATCATCATCATCAGCAGCAGCAGCAGCACCAGCACCAGCATCATCATCATCATCATCATCATCATCATCATCATCATCATCATCATCATCGTCGTCGTCGTCGTCGTCGTCGTCGTCGCCATCATCTCAGCAATACCACCATCAACAGCAGCAGCATCATCATCGACAGCATCATCAACATCGGCAGCATCAGCATTCTCGTCACCGTCACGTCTTCATCCCCAGCATCCCCCCCCCACCCCCCCCCACCCTTCCTCTGCCCCTTTCCTCGCCCCTCCTTGCCGCCCTCCCCCTCCTCCTCCGAACAGCACTCAGCAGCCCGTCCAGAGTGGGGCCTGGAGTAGGAGGCTGCGCGAGCCATGCGCCTGCTGACCCACAACTTGCTGCAGTGCAACAAGAAGGGTGCCGCCCCCAGCGGGGCCCCAGCGCTCGGCCTGCAGCTCGTGGACTTTGGAGGAGGAGGTGGAGGAGGAAGAGGAGGAGGAGGAGGAGCACGAAGGAAGGAGGAGGAGGAGGAGGAGGAGGAGGGGGGGCAGGGGGCCAGAACGGGGAGGAGTCGGAGGAGGAGGGAACAAACGAGGACGAAGGAGAAGAGGAGACGAAGGTGGAGGGGCAAGGAGGAGGAGGAGGAGGGGGAGGAGGAAGACACGGAAAACCAGAATGCATGAGAGAAGGAAAAGAAAATGGTTTCTAAAAGTCCTCTTCCTGGTCCTCTTTCTCCCTCTCCCTTATCTTGCCCCCTTCCCCTACCTCCTGCACGTTCCACTCATCAGCATGTTTCGTCCCACTTGTCTCTACGTCCCCACCCCTCATGCTCCTCCTACTCCCTATCACCAGCCTGACCAGTTCCATCCTTGTTCGACCCATCAACACCATAGCCATGTGAATACCCCTATGCACCATCCTTTCTCTTCTCTGTGCCTCCGCCTCTGCCTTCACCCCTATGGATCGGTGTACAGGGGTGGACGCTGAGCTCTGACAGGCCTATCACGTCGGCGTCGGGATGCGGCCCTGGCTTTCTCCATGAAGCTCGCCCGATTCACGCGAACAACTGAGTGCAACACCAGACCTGCCAGGTTGGACCCGGAGCTCGAGGTCAAGCACGTGACGTCCGACATTTGTGCCGCCGGCGTCTCGGAGCTGGTGCTCATGTTGTCCAAGCGTTGTGACGACCTGAAGATCGCTGGGCAAAAAAAAAACACGTCGACTTACTGATCAGCCACACCGATAGCGTTTTCGGCAAGATGAAGGGGGACTACGACGACTTCACCAATTGCAGGGTGCACCAGCACCGCAGTGCCGACGGCACCGCGACGCTCGACCAAGACGACGTATATCGACGCTTCGGTACCAATTATACATGTCGACCGGGTCAAGCCCACGGCTGACGAGCTGGCCAGAGGTCAGCTTCCCGACCTCTTTGTCTCCATCCTGGAAGCAGCGGCCTACGCCCTGCTCACCCAGCACCACGTCGCAGTGTACATCGTCGCCTTGCAGAGAGCCAACAACAAGCTGCTCATCCGACACGCGATGCAGCTCAACGCCGTTGCTCTGGCCACGCAGAAGATCAAGGGGCGCATCACATTTCCATCAATGGACTGCGCCGGGCGACTCAGCGCGCACAGCGACGGGTCTTTCAAGAGGAAGGAGGAGTCTGGATACGGCATGAGAGGAGCTGTATACACGCGTCTCGACAAGTCCCGCAGCACAAGCAAACAAGTGTGCCACGTGCTGGACGCTTCGAGCCGATCGCACAAGCTTGCGTGCAGATCCTCATTCGGTTCTGAGCTGCTCGCCGCACGCAGCGCAGCAGACGGTCTGCAGGCGCACCTCCCCATGCTCCACGAGACTGCGCACGGCCCCGCCTCCGCCCAGGAGTTTTGAGGTAGAGGGGGGAAGGAGGATACGCGGTCCTCGCAGACCTCCTCATAGACGGCATGTCCGTCTTCAGCGCCTTGCTCATGGACCCAGTCCAGCCGCCGTCCCAGAACAGCACCGTTGGCCGCCTGTGGCGATTAGCCGGCCAGCTGCGCACCAAACAGATCGATGATTTGCACTGGTGCGACACTCGGGACACGCGGGCCGACCCCATGACCAAAGGCAGCATGGGCCGAGAGCTAATCCTCAACGCGATGGACGGCCAGATCAGTTATGACCACGCCACGGCCAAGTGCAGCGACGAAAAGCTGTAGAAGGCCGCCCCGAGCCCGTCATAGCACAGGTCATTCACGCAGTAATGACCGGATGACTCTCGCGGCTGCGTCACGAGGTCACATGGCGTCGGTAAGCGAAATTATGACATCAACGGGCGACATCGACGAGCCGAGCACTCCGGTGAGCGGGCTCGCCTGGAATGTTAGCCTGCTTCAGCTAGTCCCACGGGCTCTGAGGGGAGCATTCCCGTTCCTGCCACTGGCGCCGTAAAACGTTTTTGCGGTTGGCGCCGCGGGGGGGTCAAAGTACCCTTTGACACGGAGCGAAGTCCGCCAACCCCAGGACCTGAAGAACTCAGGTGAACTTATCCCCTTGTGGCTAGGCAACTTCGTATGAGAGGGGCGGTCAGCAGAGCCCTTCTGCAGCTGCCTGCTTGAATTTTCTACAAAGCACGACGGACTCGCTTGGGCACCAGACTCGAACGGCACGTCCTCTTGCCTTGTCTGCTTCTCACCCTGCCACTGCCGCTGCCGGATTGGATCTCAAGGATCCTTGCACCCCGCCCGCTTTACATCGTCAATCTCGCTCTACACGCTATACATCCGGCTACGGAAAGTCAGATTCATCTTCGTACACCCTCATGTCTAGTCTC